AGAGCCTAGTGTCCACGGTACGTAAAGGACATTCACAACTCAACAAAAGAGAGGCAAACAACCTGATTTTAAAATGGGCAAAGAAGGGCACCTGGGTGGCTCAGTCGGTTAAGCATCCGACTTCGGCTCAGGTCATGATCTCACGGTTTGTGGGTTCGAGTCCCACATCAGGCTCTGTGCTGACAGCCTGGAGCCTGTTTCAGATTCTGTGTCTCCTTCTCTCTGCCCCTCCCTCACGTGTGCTCTGTCTCAAAAATAAATAAATAAACAAACAAATAAAATAAAATGGGCAAAGAATCTGAATTTCTCCAAACAGAATAAACAATGGCCACCAGGCACGTGAGCACACGCTCCCCATCATCTGTCACTAGGAAAATGCAAATCCAGACCAGTCATACACCGTGTCACACCCACTCGCACGGCCATTCTCAAACAACAGACAAGTGCTGGCAAGAGCGTGGGGAAGGCTGAGCTCTGGGAAGGTAACGTGGGGGTTCCCAGCAGTCCCACTCCTGCGCTGTGCCCAAGAGAACCGGAACTACGTCCTCACAAAAACACGCCAACAGAACGGTAAAGGTATCTGCCAATGACATTTGGATAAAGGCTTAATATCCAAAATCTATAAATAATTTACCAAACTCAACATCTGAGAAACAAGTAACCCAGTGAAGAAATGCACAGAAGACATGAACAGACACTTTTCCAAAGAAGACATCCAGATGGCCACCAGACACATGAAAAGATGCTCAGTGTCACTTATCATCAGGGAAAGACAAATCAAAGCAACACTGAGATACCACCTCACACCAGTGACTAAAACTAACAACTCAGGAAACAACAGATGCTGGCGAGGATGTGGAGACACGGGCACCCTCCTACACTGTTGGTGGGAACGTAAACGGGTGCAGCCCCTCTGGGAAACAGTGTGGAGGTTCCTCAAAAAAATGAACAATAGAACTCCCCTGACCCAGCAACAGCTCTGCTAGGAATTGACCCAAGGGACACAGGAGTATGATGCGTAGGGGCACGTGTACCCCAATGTTCACAGCAGCACGCTCAACAACAGCCAAAACATGGAAAGAGCCTAAGTGTCCATCAGCGGACGGATGGATCAAGAAGACGTGGTTTATCATACGATGGAATACTCCATGGCAATGAGAAAGAGTGAAATCCTGCCATTTGCAGCAACGTGGACGGATCTGGAAGGTGTTATGCTGAGTGAAATAAGTCAGGCAGAGAAGGACAGACAGAACACATCTTCACTGCTACATGGATGTTGAGAAACTTAACAGAAGACCAAGGGGGGAAGAGAAGGGGAACAATAGTTACAAACGGAGAGGGAGGGAGGGAGGCAAACCATAGGAGACTCTTAAATACAGAGAACAAACTGAGGGGGTGGGGGAGGGTGGAAGGGGGGGAGGGTGGAAGGGGGGCGGGGGAGAGGGGAATGGGGGATGGGCACTGAGGAGGGCGCTTGTTGGGAAGAGCACTGGGTGTTGTCTGTAGGCATGAATCACGGGCATCTACTCCCAAAGCCAAGAGCACACTGTACACCCTGTGTGTGAGCCAACTTGGCAGTAAATTACATCTTACAAAACCAAGCCTGCGCATGAACACTCAGGCAGCGTGACTCATCACCGTAAGAAAGTGAAAACACCCCAACACCCGCCGGCTGATGAATGGATGGACAGGAGGCAGGGCGGCCGTGCAGGGGACTATTATCCGACCATAAAATGGAATAAAGGTCTGGTCCGGGCCACGGCACGGATGAGCCTCAAAGACACGACGCTCAGGCAGACATCAAATACGAATGGTCACATACTAATGGGTCCCATTTATGTGAAACTCCAGGGTTTTGAGGAGAGGAAAGTGGCGGGTGACTGCTGACAGGTACGGGTTTCTTTCTGGGGAGATGAAGATGTTCTGGAACCAGGTCGGGTAGTGCCAGACAGCCGCCCAACTAAACCCACAGGAACCGCTGAGCTGCGTGCTTGAAGGGGTGGACTGTCTGGTATGGGAAGTATATCTCGATGTTTAAAAAGCGCTTGGCAAGATCGACTTTGCTTGGACGATGTCAATGGCGGCTCTGTGCCTCCCGAGGTCACTGGAGACAAGGTGGTGCCTGGCTGTGCCGTAATCTTGCTTTGGCATCTTTGGCTGATTGGCCCAAACTGAAGTGTGTGGGGTCCACTCCCACCCACTTCTAACCCGCCAGGAGGCTCTGAAACAAAAGCGCAGGGAGAGGGAGGCTGTGAAAAGCACAGACCGAATCCACGGCACCCACGGGCACTATCAGGTTGTATCAGTATCTGGAAAAAAAAACCCAGAGGGCGTGAAAATGAAAAGATGATTGTTCTAATGAGAAACAAAACAAAAAAAACTCCACAGAAGAGTCACCAGAGGAATGGCGACAGCTGAAGAAGCGAAACTGGTGAGCTGCTGACTGTTAGAGCCAAGGGAAGTTTCTGGAGCCCAGGCGGGACCAGGAATCAACAGCAGGGAGGGCAAGGGGAGACACGGGTCCAGCCTCCGTCTAATGTAAGCTTTACAAGGGGAATCACAGACCAGGAAACACTTGAGGGGCGCCTGGGGGGCTCCTCAGCTGAGCCTCTGACTCTCGATTTTAGCTCAGGTCATCATCTCCTGTTTCGTGGGTTCGAGCCCCATGTCAGGCTCTGCGCTGACCACACAGAGCCTGCTTGGGATTCTCTCTCTCTCTATGCCTCTCCCCTGCTCGTGCTCTCTCCCTCTCAAAAGAAATAAGGAAACATTAAAAAGAAAAAATACTTTAAAAAATAATAAAAATAAATTGTGCGTATATGTGTGTGTATGTACACATAAATACATATGTATCTGAATATACTTACATAAATATTTTAGCAAACTTTTTTAATGCTAATTTATTTTTGAGAAAGAGAAAGAGAAAGACAGAGGGAGAGAGAGACAGAGCGTGAGCAGGGGGGAGGCAGAGAGTGAGGGAGACACAGAATCTGAAGCAGCTTCAGGCTCTGAGCTGTCAGCACAGAGCCCGACATCAGGCTCAAACTCACAAACTGTGAGATCACGAGCTGAGCCGAAGTCAGACGCTGAACTGACTGAGCCACCCAGGCGCCCCGTTTATGGAAATATTATATATATTATATATAGGCATATCAATATATCATATTATATATTATACATACACGTATTATTTGTTTTATGTCATACACACACATGTATGCATACGTGACGCGTGTACACATGCATACGCAGTTACACGCACACGTATACGTGTATGTCTCTATGGGTACATGTACACACCAGGCCAGACTCACCAAGAAAATGCAAACCTGTAACCGGGCCGAAGACGAAGAAGGAACCAGCACGGGAACCAGAGGAGAAAGCAGACGGACCCACGGAACATGGAAGATTCCAGTGGACGGAGGCTGCGGGACCAGTGGTTGGAAACCACACCATCACCTCGGCAGCGTGGCCCCAGCCCATGCAAACGGTGCTAAAGTGAAGCCCCCCATGGGGCGGGGTCCCTGATGGGAGTGAAGCCCCCCACGGGGCGGGGTCCCTGAGGGCTGCTCCGTCCCTGATGGGAGTGAAAAGCAGACCCACTCCTTTGGAGGAGCAGCAAAGGGACGTTCCCGTGTCCCCGGAGCCTCCCACCTGAGGCCCCGAGCTCAGCCCCCTCCTGCAGCGTCACCGTCCCTCCGACAGCCGGGCCCACACCTGGGGAGGGCGCCGAGCCGAGGGGTGGGGAAGGGGCTCGGGGAAAGCAGCAGAGGCTACGGACGAGACACCAGCACCAACCTGGCCACCCGCAGGGGGGGCGCGGACCCTCTCCCGTCCCGGAACTGCTCCGGAGAGGGAGGCCTGGCCCAGACCCTGACTGAGGGGGGCGGGGGCAGGAGGGGGCCGTATGGGACGAGGGGCAGGAAACACTGGCCCCAGGACGACAGGTGCGGAGGGTGGCACCGTGGACCCCAGGTGCGGTTTGCGATCTGTCCCTCACTCCTGAGTGACCTCACGCACACACAGCCCTCTCTCTTTTACGACCTTTCGGCTAAGCTACACCCTCCACTCGTCTCTCCACGCCTGGCCCGCAGCCTCCCTGTGAGGCACCCGTCCCGCTCCCCACTCCCGCCTCCCCCCTACCCCGGGCCCAGCAGCCATCAGCCCAGCCTGACCCCCGACATCCTGATCGTACAGCGTCACCATGTCACAGGCAGAGACCTCAGCACGTCACCTTCCCTCCTCCCACCAAGCACTTGTACACAGTAGGTGCTCAATAAACAATGCGTTAGCGCGAAATGGCTGGGCCTGCTCTGCCCACCGACTAACCTCCTGGCCAAGCTCCCCTTTCATTTCCAGGTGCCTCCTGGGCGGGTCCCCTTCCCAGGCCCGCAGCCCCACACCATGGCCACCCTGCCGGGTCCCTTCTCAAAGGCTCCCAGCCTAACCAGCGGACCCCGAGCCTGCTCCACGGAGCCTGTCCCCGCCGCCTGTCCCCGGGGTCACCCTGTGGACTCGAACTCCTGCCCCAGCAGCTCCGTGCGGACAGCCGTGCGCACATCCCGCAGGTCCCAGAGCCCAGGGGGCGTGGGCGGGGGGAGGGGCAGCAGCTGGGAGACAGACTTCACGGAAGACCTGAAGTGAGCCCCGCCCCCCGCTGCCAGGACGCCAGTGCCCCGCCCCGCAGCACGTGTGCACACACCCCGGGGACCCCACCCCTGTGCCCCCATTGCCCTGAACACGTGTGCACACACCCTGGGAGCCGCACCCCCGTGCCCCCACCCCACAGCACATGTGCACACACCCCGTGTCCCCGCCGCCCCGCACACACGTGCACACACCCGGGGACCCCGCTGCCCCGCTCACACACGCACACACCCGGGGACCCCGCCGCCCCACACACACGCGCACACACCCGGGGACCCTGCTGCCCTGCACACACACGCACACACCCGGGACCGCGCCACCCCGCACACAGGCGCACACACCCGGGACCTCACCCTGCTGCGCCTCCAGCCGCCCCAGGGTCTCCATCTGCTCCACCAGGTCGTTGGAGTTCCACTGGCTCATCCCGACGAGGATGGAATTCTTCCCTTCAGCTGCCTCCTCTGTGGGGGGAGCAGACGGGCGTGAGCAGTGGGCTGTGTCTAGGTGACCCGAGCCGTGGACGCACACCTCGCCGACTGGACGTGTCTGTGCTTCTGGACCACACGACACGTTCAGGAAGCTTCTGCTGCGAGCAGGCGTCCCGCTGTGCCCCGCGGCCCCCACGTGCCGCACCTGAAGAAAGTAACCAGGGGGCCATCGTGGGAGGGGCTGCGACCCCACACGAGGGTCCGTTCCCAGCACCGAGGGCGGCATTTTCCGAAAAGAAGGAAAAGAAAAACCTCTCCAGTTGTGAGGAGTGTTTCTTTTGGTAAGTGACTTGACTTCTCTGAGGCTCAGTTTTCCCATCAGAAAAACGGGACTGGCAGGGTCCACCTCGCAGAGCTGAGATCGTGGGGATAAAGGTCTCAGAGCACAGGGGGTGCCACAGGTAAAGACATTGTGGTCACTGCTCTGCCTGAGAAAGAGCCGCCGCAGGCATCAGGGCGCCAGGGGGCCAGGAGCAGGTGTGCGGGAACGGGGGGGGGGGGGGGGGGGGGGGGGGGGGGGGGGGGGGGGGGGGGGGGCGGACGTCTGCTCCAAACAAGCCTTGAGCCGCACGGAACCACTGGCTCTCATCTCAACCGTATGAACCTAGTAACACCCTGTTCTCCCCACGCCCCCCTCTGTCCGTGCCCTTCCCCAGCCCGAGCTCGGCGATTACTCTGAAGTCAGCGGGGTTGTATTCCCCAAACCACATGGAACGTAAGGTCCCATACGACATCCGCACACACCTGGTGCAGCCCCTCATCCCAGAGAGAGGCGTTCCCTCAGGACAAACCCATGGGTATCGCCTGCCCCTGCGGCGCCCTCTCTCGGAGCAGGTACTAAAGGCTGGTGGGGAAAGTCCGCAACCCCTTGACAACCGGGAATAAAGGGACAGGACCCATTTCGCGGCCAAGGTGGTACCGACGTGGCAGAGCAAGGGGAGCTGTCCAGAGTTCTGACTGCTCCGGCGCTCAGTTCCCTCGCGCCCACTTCTGGCTGGGACACCTTCTCCAGCCTCAGGGGTTCACCTACTCGATTTATCTAACAACACTGCTTAAACACTCCCTCTGCACTGAGATGCTCATCATGGGTAACAAACGTCACCTCCCCCGATTCTCAACACAATACTGAAAAGGTACAGTCCTCGTCAACCGCGTTTTAGAGACAAGGAATCTGAAACACGGAGCAGCTCAGTACCTCGCCCAAGGTCACCCGCTAGAGCCAGGACTGAAACCCAACGACACGATTTCAAGAGTCCTCAAACCCTGGCGGCCTGCCTGGACGTCCTGGATCGGCCGCCCAGCCCCCAGCCAAGCTCTACACATGCCCAGACGACTTCCCGAGCCCCGTGTGCTCCCTCTGGGCACACGTCTACACCTCTGGGCAGCGCTGTGTTCTGGGCAGGCCCCGGGTGGATTGCAGGCCACGGTCTGTAAAATCGGTGGTTTACCAGCTCCTTACCAGAAGCAGGGACTGGAGCAGGAAGCAGGGTCTCCACAGGACCGAGGGCAGCTCTCTGCCCGGCCTCCCACCAGGGGGGAAGCAGGGTGTCCACTGGGCACGGGGACACCAGAGCAGGGACACAGGAGACACGGCGGCAGAAACCTCCAGCGTCCCGCCCGGAGGGGGCTCAGCTGTGCCCCAACCCCTGCGACCTCGGGGGCCCAGCCCTATGTGCGGGTCCACGGCAATGAGCCAGTTCTCGTCTAGATGTGGGGAGAGGAGGCCTAAAAGAACGAGCTGAGGGAAGGGGCCTGGGCCTCACCCATCACCCCTCCCCGGTCCCTTATGTTATGTTGGGGGGGATCCTTCACTTTGAACAGGGACACGGAGGCAGAACGGCGATCAGTGAACTAAACATACTTAAAAGTACCTTAAAAGTGGGGGGGGGGCACCTGGGGGGCTCAGTTAAACATCCGACTTCAGCTCAGGTCACCATCTAGCCGCTTCCCATTCAAGCCCCACGTCGGGCTCTGTGCTGAGAGCTCAGAACCTGGAGCTGCTTCAGATTCTGCGTCTCCCTCTCTCTCTGCCCCTCCCCCGCTCACACTCTGTGTCTCTCTCAAAAATAAACAAACATTAAATATAATTAAAAAAAAATAAAAGTACAAGTTGGTAGGTGCTGACACACGGACACACCCCTGACACCATCTCCTGAGTTTCACCCCCTCTTCCCCCTCCCTTCCTTCCCCTCCCCCCTCCGCCTCCCTCCCACTCGGGCCGTAAGCTGCTTATGCCCTGAGGCATCACAGAGTTTCTAGTACATGGGGTCCCAGTCACGCAGGTGCTCTGTCCATCTGTCTGTCTGTCCTCCCGCCTCCTCCCTCCAGGACCCCCGAGCCTTGCACTCTGGCAGAGCCACATTCATTCACGCGAGGTGCGCACCTGGTGGCCCCAGGTCCCGCGCCACTCCGTCCACCTGTGGCGTGGTTCGTGGTGCTTCCTGGGGGCCCCACTCCCCTTCCTGTCGGGTGGGCGCTGTGCTGAGGGACGGCCCGTGGGGGCTGCAGCCGAGCCTCTGGCTGGACCGTGGGCCACTCCTCCCCCCCAGTTTGGGGCAAGTCCCAACGCCCCCAACTCGGCAGGTGGGTGACTGGTGCCCCGCGGGGGCCTGGCGGCCGGGCCTGGTTTTAGCCGCCCCTTCCTGGACAACAGTGTGGAGTGTTTCCAGTTTCTGCCATTTCACTGGCTGGTGAGGGGTCCACTCCCTCATCTCACAGCTCACCTGTCTTCCACCCCCACCACGGCCCGAGGCCCCGAGCGCGGGGACACCGCCGTGCGAGGGCAGTGTCTGGTCCCCGAGGGGCAGTTACTCACGGATAAGTGGATCCTAGTCCCCGCCTGGCCTGACCTCAGTAACCGAGTGACCCCGCACAGGCCTCCCAGCCCTCTGGCCTCAGTTTCCCAGCCTGGAGACGGTGGTGGTGCTGAACTCAAAGACCCTGTGGACCCCTCTCGGCCCCCTGCGTTTGCCCTCGCTCTGCACCCCAGCCCTGGTAGACGGGGCCGTGGCCCCCAGATATCCTTTGACAGGAGGGACGCACCTCTTCTGGGTCTGGGAGCCCGGACCCCAACACCTACCCTGCAGCACCTAAATGGGGCACCAGCCACGTGAGGCCACAGGCCTGCCGCCGTGGCCCATGGAGCCGGCATCCTGCCCAGGGTGTGTCAGGGACCCGGATGGCCCCGAACTCGTGCCCAAGTCCCGGACATGCATGGCCTGGGCCCGGGGGCTGTGTGCTGCTGGCTGGGAGCAGAGAACAGCTTCACCTCCTACTGCCTGGAGCCAGAGACCCCAACGGCCTTGTCCAGGGGACAGCCCAGAGCACACGGGAGGTGGGGAGGGCAGTCAGGAGGAAGGAGGCCTCCGCAGCCTGTAGGGCACAGGGTGGGGGCGGCACGTGCCCTCAGCTGCTCAGGCCCGAGGGGTGGGGTGTGGCTGGCCGGCCCACCCCCAGTGCCTCCGGCTGCAAGCGGTCCCACCATCAGGGAAGCTGATCCTGATGAGCTGCAAAATATTTTATTTTATTTTATTTTATTTTTAAAATTTTATTTATTTCTAGGAGAGAGAGACAGCGTGAGGAGGGGAAGGTCAGAGAGAGAGGGAGTCACAGACTGAAACAGGCTCCAGGCTCTGAGCTGGCAGTCAGCACAGAGCTGGACGCGGGGCTCGAACCCACGAACCTCAAGATCATGACCTAAGCGAAAGTCGGACGCTTAACCGACTAAGCCACCCAGGCGCCCCAACTGCAAAATATTTTAAATAAAAGTGTCCTAAGCATCAAAATATCGGCACCGCTGCTGTCACACTGTGGGTTAGCTGCTAAGAAGCAGCCCCAGCAGCCGCTCCAGCCAGACACCAGCCGGAGACGTACCCGGGTCCCACACGGGCTGGGTGAGGCTTGGCCTCGGTCTGCCCAGCTCTGCCTCCCTGAAAGGCCCCTGACCTGAACTGGGTACTCCCCGCCTCCGCAGGCACGGAGCTGACCGGGACACTGAGGCCCAGAGAAGGTCAGTGGCATGGCTGAGACCATGAGACCATGTCCCCAGTGTCCCGCTCTGGGCCCAGATGTCTTCCGAGTCTGTTTCTGCTTCCAGGCCCCGTTGGGCCAGGCATTTTCAAGCTGGCGTCCCGGGAGTGAGTCAGCCCCCCAGATATGGTGACCTCCTCAGGTGGGGCCAAGCTGGCCACATGAGGACGGGGCCCCTGGGTGGAGGCGGCGGACAGGCAGGCGCGTGTCCGTGGGGACCTCCGGCCGCCGCCCACTGTCGCCAGCACCTGCCCCGGGTGTGCGCTCTCACCCGGAGCCTGAAAGGCGCACCCGCGTTGGCGCGCACACCTGCACTCCCTGCTTCCAGTTCTTCGTCGCCCTGAACCACGCCCTCCATGCTGCCCCCCGCCACCCCCGACCCCTCGCACCCCCCGGGGGTCTGCAACAGTCGCCCCGCCCCGCCCCCCCTCCGCCGCTGATCCTACGCGCCCCGCACAGGGTCTCGGGCAGACAGCCGCCTCTCCTCTGCCTCAAGGCCGGCCCTCGACCCTGGCGCACGGGCTCCTCAGTCCCTGGAACGGTCACCCCGCCGCCTCCCCTCGTGACTGCGGAGAGGGTGCTGCCGACCCGACTACGTTAGGGGCCTGCGTCCTTAACACCCGCTGACCCGCTCAGGGGTGTCGCCCGTCGGGGAGGCCCAGCGCCCCCACCGCTCGCGGGCCCCGGGCACAGCCCCGAGGTGGCCCGGGCACAGCCGGCGCGCCCGCCGCGGAGGCTCACGGACCGGGCACAGGTGAAGTGTGGCGCGCAGCGTCCAGGAGGGAGAGACGCTGACCCCCCGCAGGGGTCCCCTTCCTGAGGCTTCTAGAAAGGTCCCCCAGCCAGTGACGGGAGGATGGCGGTCACTCACCTCTGGCATCGAAGAACTCATCGTCCGAGCTGTCCACGGAGTCGCCGAGGACGCCTCGAAGGTGCCAGGGGGCACCGCCGCCCGGGGGGGGGCCACCTGCGGAGGGGCCACACGTGTTAGCCAGTCCCGAGACCGGGTTCCGAACCGCTCCCACCAGGGCCTCAGCACCCCGCCCCCCCCCAGCCGTCCCGGACGGGGCTCCGCGCGGGCCTCGGCGGGACCGGAACCGGGCCGGAAGCGGGACGCGCCCAGGCGGCACAGGCGCCGCAACCGGGCGGGTTGTGCCGGGCCAGCGCCCGGCCTCGCGCCCACGCCCCCGAGGGAAGGGGCCCTGGTCACGGGGGCCGCTCCGAGGCGCCACCACCTCAGGATGCCCCCTCAGCGAGCGGGACGTCGTGATGGGCGGAACGGGGGAGCCGCGCGCCCCTTCGCGCAGGGCGACGCGCTGCCGCGAGCGGCTCTGTCCGGGCCGGTCACGTGGGCAGTCACGTGCCCCCGCGTCGGGAGCGCGCAGGGGCGGGGCCGCCGACGCCTGCGCAGCGTGTCCCCCCCTCCTCCCCCTGCCGGGCCCGCGGCCTCCAGTGCGCACGCGCGCCCGCACGCGGGGAGTCCACTGAGCCCCGGCTGCGCCCCCGGCCCAGTGCGGCCGCCCTCCTTCCAGCCAGAGCCTCAGTTTCCCCACCTCTAAAGTACCGACCCCTCCGTCGGGAGCGCGGAGGAGCGGAAGAGACGCCAGCCTGCGTATCAGGCCCAGTGATTATTACAACGTCCGCGGAAGGCAGGGGCGGGGGCCGAGGGGTCGCCGGGCAGCCAGGAGCGGGGACACGTCGGGAGGCGGCCCCTTGCCCTGAACCCCGCACCCCCGCCACCCCCCAGGCGCACGACACGCTGGGCGCTGCAGGCCGACTGCGGTCTGTCACACTGGACACCAGGAAAGCGTCAGAAGACAAACGACCCGGTAATTTCCGAGGAAGCGGCTCCGGGGGCGCACGTTAGGCTTTGTCCCCGCGGCCCCGGAGCCTGCGAGAAACCCCGGAGCGCGGGCGGGCCGGGGCGGCCTAGAGGGAGTTCTTCGTGGCTGCAAGGACGCGGCAGCTGGTCGTGTGCTGGGGGGGCTGGCCGGGGGGGGGGGAGGCCGGGCCGGGGGGGGGAGCCAAGCCGTGTGAAGCCAGGGCCCCCCGCCCTCTGTGCCTCGGTTCCTCGGGCGTCGGGGGAGGGCAGGGGCAAAAATCCAGCAAATTCAGCACCACGCGCGTTGGCACAGGGCCTCGCGCACAGCCAGCGGCCCCGTCAGCGATCGTGGGCCGAACACGCGAGGCCGCGCCGTGCCTGGAAGGGTGTGCGCCGTGCCTGGAAGGGTGTGCGCCGTGCCTGGAAGCGCGCGCGTCAGAACGCCAGCCAGACGTTCTTCCTACAGAGTAGAACCTGACAGGTAGGGGGAGGCCGGGAAAATGCAGTGTGTACGTAGATCACGTAATTTTATAGGGCTGTTAATTTTATAAATCATCCTATTTTATCAGTTCTAAGGTGCAGTGTTTTCACACACTTCAACGTCCTCAAACCCGGAGTGCATCTCCCTTTCTTTTTTAAAAAAAATTTTTATATGTTTATTTATGTTGAGAGAGAGCAAGAGCAAGGGAGGGACAGAGAGGGGAAGACAGAATCCGAAGCAGCTCCAGGCTCCACGCCGTCAGCACAGAGGCCCGATGTGGGGCTCGAACCCACAAGTGTGAGGTCGTGACCTGAGCCGGAGGCAGACGCCCAACCGACTGAGCCCCCCAGACGCCACCGCAGGTTGTCGTTCACAGTGGACCCTTGAGCACACGGGCCGGGCTGTGTGGGGCCACTTACACACGGTTTCCTCTTTCAATATCCACGATCCAGCAGCTGTAAACGTATTTTCTCTTCCTTGTAAGTTTCTTAATCACGTTTTCTTTTCTCCAGCCCAGTGGACTGCCATCACACGTGTGTAACGTGTACAACACGCCAAATACGTGTTGATCGACTGTCTCTGTTATTGGTGAGGCTCTGCTCAAGGGCAGGCTATCGGGAGTTAAATTTCAGGGGTCAAAATTCATATGCAGAGTTTTTAAGGTTTTTAAAACTATTATTTATTTTGAGAGAGAGACAGAACCGTCAGGGAAGGGGCAGCGACAGAGAGGGACGGAGGGTCCGAAGAGAGCTCTAGGCTGTCAGCAGAGTGTGACCTGGGGCTCGAACTCACAACCAAACCGTGAGGTCATGGCCTGAGCTGAAGTCAGAGGTTCAACTGACTGAGCCACACAGGTGCCCCGGTCACATGCAGATTTTTTACTGTGGAGGGTGTCAGCACCCCAGGCCCTGACTGTGGGGGGAGGTCAGCACCCCCAGCCCCTCACTGAGGGGGGTCAGCACCCCCAGCCCCTGTCTTTGGGGGGGAGTCAGTGTCCCCAGCCCCTGACTGTGGGGTGTCGGTGCCCCCAGCCCCTGACTGTGGGGGGTCGGCGCCCCCAGCCCGACTGTGGGGGGTCAGCCCCTGACTTTGGGGGGTTTGGCGCCCCCAGACCCTGACTGTGGGGCTCAGTCCCTGACTTTGGGGGGTTTGGCGCCCCCAGCCCCTGACTGTGGGGGGTCAGTCCCTGACTTTGGGGGGTCGGCACCCCCAGCCCCTGACTGTGGGGGTCAGCACCCGCAGCCCCCCATAGTTCCAGGGTCGGCTGTAACTGGCGTGGCTGACTCTACCTCAGGGTCTATGAAGTAATAGCGCATCCTGGCCACTGGTTGCATCTCGGCTTCTGTGGCCGGCGGTAAAAGCGCGGGCACCCAGGGCTTCGGCGCTGGCGTCACCAGGCGCACAAGTCTGGCGTCAGAGAGACCGCATCCCGTAGCAGCAGTGCCCGGGCCTCAGTCTCCCCGTCTGCACGAGGAGAAACGCGATGGAGCCTGTCCCTCTTCAGTGGTGACTGATGTTGGAGGAGCCAGGGGGCAGGTGACAGGTGGGCGCTGTCCCGGCAGTGGCTCCCGGGCACCCTGTGACGCAGCCCCGGCTCTGCTCCCCCCACCCCTCCCCCGCAGGACGCTGGCACTGTTCCCCGCCCGGGGCCCTGGTCCCAGAACACACACTGTTCCCGGAGGGCGAGGCCACCCCGGGGTCCGCTTCCGGCCCGTCCCTCCTGCCCTGCCCACCACAGACTCCCAAGCACGCACCGGCCTGGGCACCTGGCCAGAAGCCACCTGTACGCGGAAAGCTGGGTCTGGCCCCACTCCCCACGGGGACCCTCCAAGCTTGAGATTCTTGCCCACCAGGCGGGCGGCGTGGCAGGCTGGTCGGCAGTTTCCTGCCCCGGGCCCTGGATTTACTGCAAGGGACGCACCAAAACTGAGCACGCCCAGGGGGCGACGCGGGACCAGAAACGAAAGGGGAACGTATTTCAGAGGAAAAAAACAAAACTGCCTCTGTTCTCAGATGGCGTCGCCGTCTACACAGAAAACAAAAGCTCAGGGCGCCCGGGGGCCCCGTCTGCTAAGGGTCGACTCTTGGCTTCGGCTCAGATCATGATCTCCCTGTTCTTGGGTTCGAGACCCTCACGGGCTCTGTGCTGACAGTGCAGAGCCTGCTCGGGATCCTCTCTCCCTCTCTCTCCCTCAAAATAATTTTTTTAAAGCTCTGAAAGGGGACCTGGGGGCTCAGTCAGGTGAGCGTCCGACTTCAGCTCGGGTGATGATCTCATGGCTCATGAGTTCAAGCCCCGCATCGGGCTCTGTGCTGACGGCTCGGAGCCTGGAGCTGCTTGGGATTCTGTGTCTCCCTCTCTCTGCCCCTCCCCTGCTCACATTTTGTCTGTCTCTCTCAAAAATAAGCATTAAAATTTTTTTTTTAACTTCAAAAACTAAAAGCTCTACAAAATCCACAAATAGAAACACGCTATGAGAACAAATAGTTGAAAAAAGCAAGATCGCCGTACACATGACCAACCCACACAAGTCACCTGCACTCTATGTGTTATCAACAAAGAATGAGAATTTGAAATTAAAAAAACAATTCCATTTATAATATCACCAAAACAGAACAAGGCCACAAAAAGAAGTGCGTTTAGATATAAATCAAACGGATGTGAAAATTTCTATGACACCGGAAGTACATCCGTGTCAAATTCTGCAGAATTTACATTAATTTTATCTGCTTTGTCCAGTCACTAAAGGTATAAAAACTACCATACGCACGTGTTAGCGCGCAAGCACCCCTGGGGTCCAAATCCATCCTGTTTCCAGGAAGCGAGCACCCGCGGGGCCCGGACAGTCCTGCTGCCCGGTGACTCGGTCCCTGAGCGTGTAAGCAGTGATGGGCTCGGTGAGGCTGTGCCATCTCCCTGGTCCTTGGGCTTGAACAGCGAGCGTGCGGGTTGGGGAGAAGTTCCCGGACACGGCGGCCCACACACCCGTTCGGCGGACACCCAGCCCAAGGAAAAGGGCAGGGACATTTCTGCCGGCTCTCTCCACACATATGTGCACGCGCGCACATACACACGTGTGTGCGTGTACACACACGCATGCACACACGCACACAAATATGTGGGAGGGGGCTCAGGTGTCAGAGAGGGCTGCCTGGCCCGCAGGCACGAGCTGGGGACGCGACGGGGGGACCTGGCACAGCTCACCTGCTGCAGGGGTGCGGGGAGGCAGAGCTGGGGCAGGTTCTCGCAGCGGAGAGTGACACGGGGAAACGGATTCGCCTCCTACCTCCGCCCCTTCCCCGAGCGCCTGACGGTGGCGTCACAGCCTGAAGACAGGCCAGCGCGGGGGCCAGTGTGGACACTGGGCTCCGGGCGCCTCTCCTTTCAAGCAGACCCCACCCCGCCGGGGGCTCCGCTGTGGGCCAAGTCTGCCTCCGGTGTCTCTTCAAACGCACATTTTACCTGCTAACCGTTTATCCTCATTGTCTTCAAAATGCGTCCTTGCAGGGTTTTTTAAAATTTTTTATGTTTATTTTTGAGAGAGAGAGAGAGAGAGAGCGTGAACACCAGCAGGGGAGGGGCAGGGAGAGAGGGAGACACAGAAGGTGAAGCAGCTCCAGGCTCCGAGCTGTCAGCACAGAGCCCGACACGGGGCTCGAACCC